CCCACCCCGGGAGGCGTTCCCCACCCCGGGATGGGATCCCCTTACTGGAGGCAGTACCCACACCAGGATGTGGTACCCATACTGGATGCAGTACCCACACCATTCCCTGCCCCACTGCCAGCAGCACCCTGCCATGCCATGGCATTGCCGCCAGCCCCAGCAGCTGCTGTTTCACCGAGGCTTTGTGTTTACCATCACCTTGTTAAGGGATTATTCAGCCTGCGGTTTCCTCGCTCGCCCGATCTGTTTTTGCTCGGCGGCCGGTGGCTCGCTGCCATCCCCTAAGCTACACGCCGGGCTATATAAGCGACCTCGCCGCCGCGGCTGCGGGGAGGCTCGTACGCAGCCCGGCTCGGCGGCGGCGCAGGGGAGGTTTCGGTAAGCTGCAACTCTCTCTCTTCTTCCCAACCGACTGCAAATCCCTTTAACCCGCGGCTGACAAGCCCCTGGACCGCAGTTCGGCTGGCGGCTCCGTGGCGAGAGGACAGGACTCTCCTTAATTGGGTTTTTTATGGGTTTTGTAGGTAACAGCAAAAATAAAACCCAACAAAAAAACCCTGCTAAGTTTTCCCCCTTGGTCGCAGCTAGCGGTTATGTAATTTTGCTGTGTTATTAAGGAAGAGTAATTAAGTGTGGCTGTGATTGAGGGCGAGGTGGAAATTAATTGACGGGCAGATGAAGGCACAGAGGCTGTGGGCTGGAAAACATCAGTGGGGACACGGATCTCTGTGTACCACTTCTCTCCTCATCCCTGCTTATGGGTTTGGGACAGGGTTGTGGGGACTGGGGTTTGGGGGGAACGCTGCTTTGCTTATGTGGGGTTTGATCTCCCATGGCTCTGTCCTGTGCCTCTGCCAGAGAGGGGACAGGGATCCATCCGCTTGAACCCCCTCTTTCCCAGCATCGCGTGTCCTGGGGACAGAGGGACACATCCTGTCCCAAACCCAGCACCAAACGAGTCGCAGCCAGCTCCTAAAATAGCCACCGAGTGGGAAGCTTTCAGCCTGGATTAATTTTTCCTGGTTATTGTCTGGCTGCGAGTTCACAACCCTGCCGTAAGCCCACAAAACACCGCTCATGTGTTGCTTGTTATTTTTGCTTGACTGGGATTTGCTGAGCCATAATCAAAGTATTTCCTAGTCCCACATTCCCCTGTCTCGGAGGGGATGGTTAATACCGCTTACAAATAACAGGGTGTTCTCACTGTCGCCTGCTTTGTCAGCCTCATTTTATGGGTAAACTGAGGCACTGAAAGGCTGAGACAACATTTCCCCTCCTCCAAATTCATTATTTTTGAGTGCATCAAATAAAGCACCAGGAATTCCAGCTGGTGTCACTCGGGGTAACACCAGCTCCGTGGGTACCTCCAGAAATTAAATATCCAAAATGCTTGATGCTGCAAGACAAAGGGACCCACGTAAAATAAAATCTGGAGTTGCTGAGCTGGGGAAGAGCAAAACAAAACCTCAGTCCCTCGTCTCTGCGTGCAGAAAAAGGAAAATATTTGGCTTCTTGCTCACATTTGCAACGAAGGTTTGGCTTGTGCATGGGGTTTTCCACTTTCAGAGGCGCTCAGGAGCCTTTCCCCTCCCCGCGCTCCCAGGATGTACTTGGATAAGACGTTATCCTTGCGCAAAGCCCTGTTTGCGAGCAGATGGAGATGTCCCTGCTCATGTGGGGAGCAGAGTGTGGTGCTGGCAGGGCCCGTGGAGCCGCGTGGGCTGCGGGAGTATCCCTGCAGAAGTATTTAAGTTGTTAGAAGGAGATGCCATTACAACACGGTGCTCTGCAGAATAGATTTGGGCTTGAGGCTCGGATGCGACAATGAGAAGCAGAGGGGATGAGAGCACAGATGTGGAGCCCCTGCTGCTCCCACTCGGGGGTGGGTGGATGGACAGGGGGTGTAAGCAGCCCCATGGCACATTTTGGATGGGTTCAGACTGGGAGAAATTCCCTGAAGGTGGCAGGACCCTGGGTGAGCCTCAACACGGCCGGGCTTGTCTCTGCAGGTCTGGGAAAGCCCCTGGTCATCTCTGGAGACAGCAATGGTCACTGCAAAAGGATGGATCCTCCTCCTCCTCCTGGGAGCCACGTCCGTTTTAGGTGAAGGTTTAATGTTTCTATTCCTGTTGCTGTACCGTCCCTTGCCCGCAGACACGCCAGCATGGAGACACATCCGGCGGCGGGCGCTGGGCTGACAGCGATGCCAGGCGCTGCTCTGGGTCAGCGCGGCGTTCACCCAGCCAAATGACTTCCAGATGAAGGCTGGAGCCTGTCCAGCCCCCAGAGCACGGGCAAAGCCCATCTGCGAGCCAGACAACCTCTGGTTGACCAGGGATGAGCCTCGCTGCCCACTGGGTGTGCTGGGGCCATCCCTACCTGCTGTCCCTGAGACCCCAAGCCCTCAGGATGCAGCAACGTTGCTCTTCTCCAGGAGAAGATGCTCGGGAGCAGCAGGACCTGTTTGCTGCTGGGTCCAGTGGGTCACATATACCAAAATGCTGAGCAATATGTAACCTGTCCCTCTGCTCCACCTCGGGTTCATTTCTCCTCACGCAAGGTGAGGCAGGTTATATCTTAGACCTCCAGTTATAAAAAGATTATTTGATCTGAGCTGCTCCAACAGAGAAAACACCAAAAAGTTCTTCTAGGTTGATAAGAGCAATGGCAAATTTGCATCATACCTGAGCCGCAATGATGCTGTGGGACATCTCTGTCACACGCTTCACCTGGCATCTCCTGCACCACTTCCCACACGAGCTCTAACCAGCCACAACCCAAAGGGAAATAAGAGAAACTGAGCCCAATCCCGTGAATCTAATTAACTTATTATTAACCTAATTTAATCTCTAATTTATTGACCCTTAGGACAAAGGGTTCTGAAACCAGCCCTCAGCAGAATCCAGATAGGACAGAAAACCTTCAGCCCACTGGTAATGCTCAGCTTGGAGAGTAAGTTATTTCCCATCTTGGGTGCTTTTTCCTCGCCAGGACAAGGGGTGTTTGCAGGCATATTATTTTTTTCAGCCT